GGAAATGCAAATCAAAATCATGAGATATCACCTCACTCCACTTAGAATGTGTGTTGTCAAAGGACAAAAGAAAACAAGTGTTGGTGAGGATGTGGAGAAAAGGGAAACCTGCACACTGCAGGTGGGCGTGTGAACTAGTACAGCCACTATGGAAAAGAGTATGGAAGTTCCTCAAAAAATTAAATAGAACTGTGGTATGATCCAGTAATACCACTACTGGGTATACATCACAAGGAAATAAAATCACCATGTTGAAGAGATATGTACACCCCCACATTTATTGCAGTAGCCAGCATATGGAATCAACCCACGAGCAACAAAAAATTTACTCAACTACTGAGCAGTGTTTTTCATTTTTTAGATCCAATATTTTTTTTCTCAGGAAGATGCTGTCTTGTCAATGCTATATTTATTATTGTCCTCATTTTGCTCCAGATTTTGCTCCCAAAATAATAGGAGTCCTGACTCCAAACTCAGAAGGGAACCACTTCCATTTCTGTGTCTTAACACTAAGGGATAGGACTGGAACATTTAAAACTTTCTTTTAATTTTTATTTTAATCCTAATGATTTAATATACATCTAGTGATAAAAAGCAGAAGTAAACATAACTGTTAACAATCTAATAAACAGTGGCCTGTGATTTAGTAGTACTCACTTTTGCAGGTCCCGATCTTCCATCTACTTTGAAGTGTTGTCCACTCCTGCTTTATCCTTGGACCACTGACCTAATGTTCTTTCTTATCTCTCATCTTAACTACTGGAGCAACTCTCCTTGGTAAATGGTCTTCATACAGGCTAATGTCCTCTCCTGGGGGTGACATTCAGGCTTTCCAAGGGGAAAGTCAAAATTTAAGGAGGATCTAAGTGATTTGCAAATACAGCACCCAAATAATTCATCAATGATAATTTGATGACTTGGTGATTTTTTTAATTCTAAATTTATATGAATTTAACTGAGTTAACCTTTTCTTGTATAGGACCTTGGTCTAGGCTGTCTTACTGCAAAATGATTTTTGCATATTTTCTGGACATCCATATTTGGAAGAGCATTTATACAACAGATACGGCAATAGTGTCACCATGAATATGACTAACATTAGGAAAGGTAAATGTGGAGTAGGTTTAGACTTGAGGAAACAGCTAATCTGTCTTATATAGATGTAAGAAACATTTTCATATATTTGCACTTATGTGATTACCTGCTTCCCCCTTTATTTATGCCCTGTGATAGCATTGTGCAGAATAATTTAGCAAAGAAATTAGCTGCTGGTTGGCTAAATCAATTTCTTCCGCAGGCCCGTCATTTTCCATTTGTATTACATTCTGATGAAGCTTTAACTCGATTACATATGCATATGATTATCAGTTTCAATATGATCTTCTGACTTCTTAACATCAAGTAGTTGCATATTACCAATAATGCCAGTGTTGCACCATATTGCAGCATGGTCTTGGTACAATCAGCTTCATTAGAGAACAAATCTGTAAGAATTAGAGAAGTGTTTGCTCTGGCTTTCCAACAGATGTAGCTATTGCCCATATACCAGATTATTATTATGGACAAGCATCATTACAATTAGCCATGGTTCATTTATTTCTGGGTTCCAAATTAGTTGGGCACAATACCAGTCATCCTACCACAGTGTAAAGGTTTTCCATTAAAACTGGCTTCTATTGTGTGCTCTTTTATATCAGGGTCCACCACTATCCTGTGAGGAAGACAAGTTGTTACTCAGAATAGTTCCAGCCTTCCTAACCATCTTATTCTGATCTATTTTGGGGATGAGGGCAGGTACAGTGCATCAATAAGAATTATCAGTGCTCCTAGTGAACTTCAATTAGTTACAAGGTCTATAAGATTCCCATTGTTGTTCCGCTGTGACTATGCAGATGGAATGGGGGGCCACTGCACCATGGCTACTTTGGCTTCTGTGTCATCTGTACCAAAACAGCCAATAGGTCTTGTTGGTTGAGGGACAAGCCTAATTAATCCAGCAATCTCTTTCCAATAGCCTTTCATAACAACCTCCACTGTTTCTGACTGTACCTGTAGGCTTGACCTTTTCCCCACTTTGTTGCAAATGAGAGTTCTCTGGGAGGGATGGGGAGCTCTCTGATGGCATGTTTCCACCCCCATGCAAAATCTCGGAGTCAAGGCTCTTTAGATAGGGGTGTGGAAGGAAGAAGTAAAAAGTATACCACAAGTATAAAAAGCAAGTGCCTTTTATTCAAAATATGGATCCCCATCTCTCTGACTCACTCACCCAGAACTTACCCTCAGCTTAGCTAAAGGGCAGGATGGGAAATGGTGAAGTTTCAGTCAGGATGAGAAATTTTGATGTCCTATAGAGATATATGCTGGGAGATAGCCCTCTGACTGGGAGCTTGGGAAGAGGGAACCCTGGGGTCTTGACTACAACTGTTTGTCATGGAAGTTTCTCTTGATGAGCTGAGAGATGGGAGAGAGGAAGCGGGTCTTGGTTCAAGTATCACAGACTCGCTGTTCTTACAGAATTTCATAGATTTTCTTGAATTAGTGGTGTTTTTTTTAATTTTTTTTTTATTTTTTTTATTTGCTGCATGCCCTGAACGCCACTTCCCTAGAGTATAAATGGTTGGTTTAAAGTAATTTTCACCATTTCACTGAGACACATATCTACAGAGCTTCTCATGCTGTTAAGGGACTGTAGAATCCCAAATTACTGTTTGTTTTTTTTTTTCCGACAGAATTTTTTTGTGAGATAAGGTTATCCTTGACAAATAAAATATTAAGTTTTCTTATTTTCTTCTATTCATCTGTCCTTTTGACCAATTCGTCATTTTTCCTTCATGAAATATTACATGCCACATTAAAGCACAGAAGAAGTTTTAAACACCTAAGGACCTGAACATTTTTATGCAGATGCTAATGATGTAAATTTCTTAACCTCTCATTACATGTTCTTGTGGTCCTAGTGGTTTTTTCTTAGCCATTTTTGTGACAACTTTTTGTTAACATTTATTGTGACAAACTTCATGTGTCTTCAAGGCTCGGAGGATTTGTTCTAACTTAAAGATCCTGGCAACAGGCTCCAATCTGCCTCATGCACCTCCCTCCCTCAGTGGTTGTAAAAAAACCCATTAGTGTTTTAACTTTCAATAATTACAATTCAGTGACAAAAATGATTTTTTTCACTTTTTTCTGAAAAGGAAGAAGTATATTTTAGAAACTTGCTTGAGAATTTGAATATATTCGCTAGTTTTTCAGTTGGGATCTGAAAATTCCACTGGTAACCCAAAACCATAAAATTGATTTATTTTTGTTTTATATTGGTTTTAAGGATCAGAGATTCATTATTTCATAAGCTGGACTTTTATAACTGGAAAGTGTTCCTTCCTTTCCAAATTACTTCATTATATGTATTTCTTCATAAGAGTTTTGCGCAAGAGAGATGGTAGCCATAATGTCTGAATTTTCTTGTGGACAGATATAAATAAATAAATAAATAAATAAATATATTTATATATATATATATTTTTTTCAAATAAGACATTGCAGTGATATTTATCAGTGAGATATTTTGCTGGTAGTGATAGTAGGTGCTGAGAATAAATCTGTTGCAGTTGTATGAAAGCTAGAAATGGGTGTGTTGGCTTTAAAATTGGCTAAGGAGAACCAAAAAGGGTCAAGGGACATACAGTACATACTATTACACAGCAGTTTATATTTTTTTGGGGAACATACAGTCCATACTATTACTCAGCAGTTTATATTTTTTGGGAGGGATGAAGTTTCCAGGTAGACTCAAAAGGATAATTGAAAGTAAGATACCTTGGTATCTGAATATCAGAGTGACTATCAGATTAATTCTCAGCTTTAGAATTCCCCTGCACATCCATCTACTATTTTCTCAAAGGTTTTATATCTTCAGTTTGTACGTGTATGTCTACAATATTCTACTTTAAGGTAGCATTTATCCTACATAAGGTCAAAAGAATGCCAACTTCTGTATTTCACAGGGGGCACGGCCCCCTCCCCATGCTGACTTTGAGGGCTCTCACATGGGCCTCTCCTTCCACAGTGCTCTCCTCAGGGCACCCTTGACCTCCGCGTTGCGCAGGCTGTAGATTAGGGGATTCAGCATAGGGTTGACAAGGCTGTAAAACAAAGACAAGATCTTCTGCTGCTCCTCAGGATGGCGGGACGTGGGGGCCATGTACATGACAATGGCGCTGCCGAAGAAGAGCCCGACCACGCAGAGGTGGGAGGAGCAGGTGGAGAAGGCCTTCCTGCGGCCCTCCCCTGACTGGATCCTCAGGATGGCATCCATCTACTATTTTCTCAAAGGTTTTATATATTCAGTTTGTACGTGTATGTCTACAATATTCTACTTTAAGGTAGCATTTATCCTACATAAGGTCAAAAGAATGCCAATTTCTGTATTTCACAGGGGGCACGGCCCCCTCCCCATGCTGACTTTGAGGGCTCTCACATGGGCCTCTCCTTCCACAGAGCTCTCCTCAGGGCACCCTTGACCTCCACATTCCGGAGGCTGTAGATTAGGGGGTTCAGCATAGGGTTGACAAGGCTGTAAAACAAAGACAAGATCTTCTGCTGCTCCTCAGGATGGTGGGATGTGGGGGCCATGTACATGACAATGGCGCTGCCGAAGAAGAGCCCGACCACACAGAGGTGGGAGGAGCAGGTGGAGAAGGCCTTCCTGCGGCCCTCCCCTGACCGGATCCTCAGGATGGCGACCAGGATGTGTGAGTAGGAGACCAGCACCAAACAAAGGGGCCCCACTAGGACAAACACACAGGCTACAAAGATGACCACTTGGTTGAGCCAGGTGTCAGCACAGGCCAGCTTGAGCACAGACAGGATTTCACAGAAGAAGTGGTTGATTTCATGAGGCCCACAGAAGGGCAACCTCAAGATCAGAAGTAGATGGACCAGGGCCAAGAAAAAGCTAAACACCCAGGAAGAGAAAGCCAGAATAATACACCCTCTCCAGCTCATGATGACAGTGTAATGTAGGGGGTGGCAAATGGCCACATATCTGTCATAGGACATCACCACCAGGATCACACACTCTATGTGAGCAAAAGCCAAACACAAGAATGTCTGCATTATACATGGAACAAAGGAGATGGTTCTTTTCTGGTTCACAAGATTTGTCAGCATCTTGGGGACATTGTCGGAAGCATAGGACATATCAACAATGGCCAAGTGTGATTCTCCAGCTCATGACAGTGTAATGTAGGGGGTGGCAAATGGCCACATATCTGTCATAGGACATCACCACCAGGATCACACACTCTATGTGAGCAAAAGCCAAACACAAGAATGTCTGCATTATACATGGAACAAAGGAGATGGTTCTTTTCTGGTTCACAAGATTTGTCAGCATCTTGGGGACATTGTCGGAAGCGTAGGACATATCAACAATGGCCAGGTGTGAGAGGAAGAAGTACATGGGGGTGTGCAGTCTGGTGTCCAGGCAAATAAGCCCTAGAATGACCCCATTCCCCCGCAGGGTGAGCGCATATAAGAGAGAGAAAAGTCCAAAAAGGGAAAACTCCAGTGCTGGATCGACCTGGAATCCGAGCAGTGTGACTTCTGTGATCCATGTCTGGTTGCCTCCCATAAGCCTATGGTGGAGAAAGACAAGACCTCGTCCACGACAAGAAGGTCTGATCTGCAGAGCAATAAAAGGTGCAAATATTTACTTAGTGTCGCAGAGGGGGCACTTAGGAATGTATCACTTTGTATGAATTTACTAGATTTTATCTTCAGATATGTAGCAAAAACTAAGCCAATGTGATCATAAAAATGAGAAAAAAATCCTGCTAAATGAAAGGAAAAGAAACATGTTATTAAATAGGTATATATGTTATTATATGTGTGCTTTTAGATATGTATAGATGTTATTATGTAAAATACATTATAAGTTAACATACTAGGATCTATTTTAATATATCCTATATTGGAACACACACATGCACACATGCATACATGGGTTGTTTTGGAGAACTCAAGCATTCTGTCTTCCCTTTCAGGGTGGGAGTCTTCATTGTTGATTTAATTTTATGACAGATGACCCTGAAAAAATGCCACATTAGGAGGTGTTTTCATACCCTAGGCTTGTTTGCCTTTTGGTCCAAGGGATGAAGTGATTAGTCTCCTCTGTTCTTTATACACTTGCTCACTAATCCACTTATCTTCTCACGTGCTTTCTACCTACTTATTTCAGATTAGAAATCCCTTCTAAATAACTTCTCAACTTTGTAGTTTTTTTCATATTTTGAAAGGTCGGCCTGTTCAGTGTCTGGCTAATACTCTGTAGAAGCTCCTCTTGCTCTCTCTTTTCCATCTCTACTATTTGTAGTTTTGTTTTCAAAATTTTATTTCCTTCTTCATGAGCACCTGATACTGAAATTTATCTATGAGTAAAAGAATTCTTTTGCTACATGCAATGAACAGATGTATATGTTTTAAATACAATTAAACATAATGAAATTTCTGAGGTCTTTCAAAATTTGACACTCAAAATGGGGAAACCAATTTACATTAAGGGTGGTCATAATTAAAAATGATAGTTGAATTGTAATTTTATTTTGGTTGGCTCTTTCCTCTTTTCTAAGTTAATATGGTGACAAATCTCAGAGCTTAACTCATTTTTTAGTAAAACAGAATCTTTTACCAATATCTTCCCAGCATTGGCAACTCAGGTCGCCGTCAAATCCCCTGATGGTCTTTCTCGTCACCTGTCCCCATGCCAGCAACCTTATGCTGTTCCAGTGGATGCAGAGTGGGTCACAGGGATGAGACCAGTTGGACACAGTGGTTAGTTCTTTTTAGTGAACTCTTCCTGGGGGTTGTGATGTCTGGGTCTGTCCAGGCAGCAGAGGGGGACCAGGGGCTGTGAAAGGAATGGCAGCCTCACTACAGAGAACCCTGAGACGTGGTGCTGTCCATTTGTATTTTCTTCCCATTGTTTCCACGAAGATTTTTGAGAACTGTCCTTATTTTTAAAACAGGCTAAAGTTTCAAATCCAACAGAATATTTTTTAAAATTTTAATTTTTTTAGTAAATACCTAGATCTTCAAATTTGCATATTAAAAATGAGATTACAGTACCTGGAGTATTTTTAATCTTCCATTTTCCCTTAATATAATGCATGTTTTCATGCATTAAAATTATATTTTATAGGTATTTAAAAGCAGCACAATATTCTATTACATTCTATTATGTAACTGTTGAAATGTTTTCTTCCTGATTTTCTTATTTTTAGTAGCATTGAGGTAAATAGTCTTGCAAAATAAAGATTTGTTTATGTTTATGATCATTTATTCAGAATATATTCACTTATTTAGGAAAATTAAGATGCTAAAGACACAGAACTTTCAAAGCTTTTGATACCTACTGATAGCCTCCTTCTAGAAAACTGGACCCATTTCAGTCCCCACCGCCAGTACATGAGCACTGCCAGTACGTGAGAATCATGCGTCTTTTCCACGTGGTCATCAATACTAAACATTGCCTGTTGTAACATTCGCTGGTTTGATGCATGAACATTTTATACACTTTAAATTTATATTTTGCCAGCTTTTTAACAAATGTTTCTTGAGCGCTAGGTCAGTTCCAGCCGTAGTTCTCTGCTCTGCAGTTGCTGCCATGGATAAGGTAGAAAAATTCCAAAGGGAGACAGATAATGAGAAAAATAAATGATGTTGGGGTGCTTTGCTTCTGGTCCACTCCTCAGATTTTCATTTAGGGGAGAAAACTTCTATAGTCCCGCATAGACTTGCTTCGCTATATGCCTGCCTCTCTCAGTCCCATAATTTATATAATTTGTAAAACAGAAAAAAGATAATGAGGATAAACTTCTCTCCTCTCTTTTTTAGCCATGTGTCTATCTATACACCACTCTGGGGATAAGGCATATGGGAGCATGCTTTATCCCATTTGTGGGTGGGGGTGGGTAATGGTTGTGATTTTAATTTGTAGAAAAATTTTGTTGAAGATATAAATCATGTTTTTCAATAAAGATCACTTGCAAAACATATATTCTTTTAGTTTTATCTGATACCCGTGTGTATTCCTCAATTTATTTTATCAGGACTTGGAGCAGAGAGAGGGTGTGGTTAATTACCACCTCTAAACACCATGAGTAAACAAGTAAAGAAGATAATCCTTAGTTGTGAAAAGAACTGTAAGGGAAATAAACCGGGTAAAATGATAGAACGTTCCTTAGTTTGAGAGGGGCTCTTCAGATGGATGGTCAGAAAACGTATTTCTCAAGAGGAGACATGTGAGTGAACCTAAATGACAAAGGTGAATCAAACCTGTTCAGAACCAACAGGAGTTTGTTCCTTGTCTACAACAGTAAAGAAACAAAAAAGGCAAAGTTCCTGGGCAGAAGCACCTGGAGAGTTCTAGGAAGAGAAAGAAATCCAGTGTGTCCAAACATAGTGAGCAAGAGGTTGTACACACTCTTTGTAACCTCATGCATACTTTCTTTAAAGCTGGCATTGACATAAAAAAAGTTTATCAGTTGAGGGCAGAGTGAATTCATCTGGCTACATTTTTATTTTATTTTATTTTTTTTCCTTTTTGTCTTTTTTCGTGACTGGCAACGGGATCGCAACCCTCGGTGTTGCGCCCGCCCCTCGCTCAGCCAGTGAGCAGCCGGTCTGTATGTGGGATCCGAACCCTTGGCGGGAGCGCCACTGCGCTCTCAAGCGGCGCACTGTAGCAGTGAGCCACCGGGCCGGCCCCTGGCTACATTTTTAGTACAGATTACCATGCAGTCATTAAAAAAGATAGTAAAGATCTTTGTAGAGTGAAATGAAAAAGTATCTACATGTAGTCAATGTATATGTGTATAATTTAATCTGAAGTACATTTTAAAATTAAAAAATACTTATACACATATGTCTTGTGCCTACTTACATGTTTGTAGGAAAACTCTATAAATTGAACATGGAAACTATTACACTTATTATCTCTACAGAGTAAGATTACGTAGGGACGTACCTTTTGCTGAAGTTGTTTGCTCCTTTGTTTTCTAACAGTCTTTATGCAATA